GGCAACCCACTGCAGTATTCTTACCGGGAGAATCCCATGGACAGAGGAGCCTGGCAGGCTACAGTCCATGGGGTTGCAAGAGTCGGACAGGACTTAGTGACTAAACCACCACCACCATACATCATTGTTTTGTTGATGTTAATGTATTTTGTATTTTTCTATTGTTGCATCATAAATTACCACAAATTTAGCCATTTAAAATAACACCTTATTAAAAAAATAAATAAAATAAAATAACACCTTACTGTCTCACAGTTATGTAGGTCAGACATCCTGATGGGCTTGGTTGAGTTCTTTGTTTAGGATCATACAATGCCAAAATCAAGGTGTCCCCAGAATTGGCTTTTATATGGAGTTATCTGGGGGAAGAATACACTCCAAATTCATTCAGGTTGTTGTCAGGATTTAGTTCCTTACCATTGTAGGACTGAGATCCCATGCTCCCAGCTTCTAGAGGCTGCTCACATTTTTCCTTATGTGTCCCCTTCCATCTTCAAACCAGCCCTGGCACACTGAATCCTTTTTTTGTTTGGAATCTCTCTGACTTTCCATTCTACCACTAGCTTGAGAAAACTCTGCTTTTAAAAGATTTATGTGATTTTTAAAAAATTATGTAATTAGATTAATGCTATTGGGGAATAATACAAAATAATCTCCCTATTTTAAGGGGAATGTTACAACTGCAAAATCTGTTTTACCAGGTGATGTTAACATAATCACCTGCATGGTATCTTATCACATTCAAAGTCCAGAAATTAGGGTGGGAAATCTAGGGAAATTAAGGTGAGGCTTTCTAGGATTCTGCCTATTACTATAGATTTATTTTCCTCAAAAAACTACAGGAGTCATTCTGGTTGTAAAAGATTCAGCCATTATGGAAATACTGTACATGGAGCAAAACAGAAAAGCATGTTTCACCACCTTTCCCCGTCACTATTACCTCTATTTAGAAGTAGCCTTTTATATGTTTTTTGTGCATAATGGGACATCTTTTTGTAACTGGCCATCCTACTTACCTTCCTTGTTGTTATAACTTACCTTTCTTATCAGTTCTAATAGTTTTGCTGTTCATTTTCTTTGGTTTTCCAGGTAGATAATGATTTCCCCTCCTTATCATATTTATAATTCCTATATGCATTTACTTGACATATTATGTTTTATTGAACTTCAACAAAAAAATGGTCAAATAGTAGAGGCAACAGTGGACATCTTTGTCTTTCTCCTGGTTTAGTGAAACTTCTAGTACAGTGTTTCCCAAACTCATGTTCTGGGTGATGATAGATTTTTAATCTATTTAATTATGAATATTTCAAACATAGAGCAAAGCTGAAGGAGTTTTACAGTGAACACTGGTAAATGCACAGCAGAAACTTTATCATTAATATTTTGTTATATTTTATCACATAGCTATCATCTGTCTATCCATCAATTAAACCATATTTCTTGGATTTATTTTCCCATTCTACCACTTGCTATTCTCTACTTAATAAATTATTTTAAGCTGTTATATTTATTAATACATTACTCTAGTTCTAAGTTTGATTTGCTGTTTTCTTTGAAATGGCTTATGTTAAATATATGGCTTACTCATTTTCAGTCTTCCTTACTTATTTCTAAAATAATTTAAGATTATACTTTTTTTCTACTTGCCTTTAAATATATAATGCTTTCATTCTCATTAATTTTTAGTCTATAATTTTGGTTTTGACTTCTTCTTTGACCATTAGTTGTTTATAAGTATTATTTGGTTTTCAAAGTGACAGCTTTTGGGGATGCTGTTTTTGTGCTTAGAAGTTAGTTGTATTGCACTGTGATCCAATAGCATGACTTTCATGATTCCTACTATTGGAAATGTATTGTGCTCTTTTTTGTAACTTATTTCTTTTGTGATTTCTTTATATATTTTAATGGAATGTTATTTGTATGTATGCTTATGACACTAAGATATTCTTGGTAGATAGTTTCTTTTATCAGTATCTCTTTTACCCTATTTAAAACTTTTTACCTTTAATACTGTTATTTCTAACATTAATACAGTTGCTTATATATGTGTGTGTATATATATATATATTTATATTTATGCATGCTAAGTCTTTCAGTTGTGTCAGACTCTTTGCAACCCTACTGGGCTGTAGCCTGCCAGGCTCCTCTGTCCATGGGTTTATCCAAGCAAGAATTCTTTACCGTCTGAGCTGCCTGCAATGCAGGAGACACGGGTTCGATCTCTGGGTCGGGAAGATCCCCTGGAGGAGGGCATGGCTACCTACTCCAGTATTCTTGTCTGGAGAATCCTATGGACAGAGGAGCCTGGCGGGCTACAGTCCTTAGGATCACAAAGAGCCGGGCACGACTGAGTGACTAACACTTTCACTTTCATATATGTCTTTATTGTTTCTTTTCTGATTAGAATGTCAGACAAATTATTCAAATAGAGTTAACAGTTGTTAGTATGGTATATAGTCTTCCAGATCTTTTTCTATCTATACACTGATAGATATATGTATTATAATATAGTTTTTTTCAAACAATAAAAAGGGAGAGAATCATGCTATATCTGTTTTACAACTTGCTTTATTAACAATGTATTCTTGACATGCTTTCTATATCACTGTATATACATCTACCTTACTTATTCTTTTTAACTGGTCTTTGGAGTGAACATTTATGCAAAGTACCTGGCCCATCACTATCTTTTTTAAAATTCAAATATAACTTCACCAGAAGCCTTCCCTCACCCTGCCCCCCAAAACTAGACCAAGGTAGCCTATGATACAATTTCATGATACTCTACTATTTTAATCCATAGGCACCCAAGACAGTTGTACATTTGTGTGATTAATGTCTGTTCTCTCCACCACATACAGACATACATACACCCTAAACACACAGCTTATAGTGGACAGTAAGCTTCTAGAGAGCAGGGACCATGTCTGTTTTGCTTATATTTGTACAATATAAATATAAACACCAAGCACAGTGCCTGAAAATTTTACCTGTTCAATAAATATTTTTGAAGGAATGAATAATAAACACTCCTACAAGGCAAGTATTACAGTTATGCCCATTTGGCCTTGGAGTACAGAATAAAGCAGGTCAAAGGCTAATAGAGTGCTGCCAAGAGAACGCACTTGTCATAGCAAACACCCTCTTCCAACAACACAAGAGAAGACTCTACACATGGACATCACCAGATGGATGACACCGAAATCAGATTGATTATATTCTTTGCAGCCAAAGATGGAGAAGCTCTATACAGTCAGCAAAAACAAGACTGGGAGCTGACTATGGCTTAGATCATGAATTCCTTATTGCCAAATTCAGACTGAAATTGAAGAAAGTGGAGAAAACCACTAAACCATTCAGGTATGACCTAAATCAAATCCCTTATGACTATACAGTGGAAGTGAGAAATAGATTTAAGGGACTAGATCTGATAGACAGAGTGCCTGATGAACTATGGATGGAGGTTCGTGACACTATACAGGAGACAGGAATCAAGACCATCCCCAAGAAAAAGAAATGCAAAAAAGCAAAATTGCTGTCTGAGGAGGCCTTACAAATAGCTGTGAAAAGAAGGGAAGCGAAAAGCAAAGGAGAAAAGGAAAGATATACCCATTTGAATACAGAGTTCCAGAGAATAGCAAGGAGAGATAAGAAAGCCTTCCTCAGCGATCAGTGCAAAGAAATAGAGGAAAACAATAGAATGGGAAAGACTAGAGATCTCTTCAAGAAAATTAGAGATACCAAGGGAACATTTCATGCAAAGATGGGCTCAATAAAGGACAGAAATGGTAGGGACCTAACAGAAGCAGAAGATATTAAGAAGAGGTGGCAAGGATACACAGAAGAACTGTACAAAAAAAGATATTCATGATCCAGATAATCATGATGGTGTGATCACTCACCTAGAGCCAGACATCCTGCAATGTGAAGTCAAGTGGTCCTTAGGAAGCATCACTATGAACAAAGTTAGTGGAGGTGATGGAATCCCAGTTGAGCTATTTCAAATCCTAAAAGATGATGCTGTGAAGGTGCTGCACTCAATATGCCAGCAAATTTGGAAAACTCAGCAGTGGCCACAGGACTGGAAAACTTCACTTTTCATTCCAATACCAAAGAAAGGCAATGCCAAAGAATGTTCAAACTACTGCACAATTACATTCATCTCACATGCTAGTAAAGTGATGCTTAAAATTCCCCAAGCCAGGCTTCAGCAATACGTGAACCGTGAACTTCCAGATGTTCAAACTGGTTTTAGAAAAGGCAGAGGAACCAGAGATCAAATTGCCAACATCTGTTGGATCATCAAAAAAGCAAGAGAGTTCCAGAAAAACATCTATTTCTGCTTTATTGACTATGCCAAAGCCTTTGACTGTGTGGATCACAATAAACTGTGGAAAATTCTGAAAGAGATGGAAATACCATACCACCTGACCTGCCTCTTGAGAAACCTGTATGCAGGTCAGGAAGCAACAGTTAGAACTGGACATGGAACAACAGACTGGTTCCAAATAGGAAAAGGAGTACATCAAGGCTGTATACTGTCACCCTGCTTATTTAACTTATATGCAGAGTACATCATGAGAAACATTGGGCTGGATGAAGCACAAGCTGGAATCAAGATTGCCGGGAGAAATATCAATAACCTCAGATATGCAGATGACACCACCCTTATGGCAGAAAGTGAAGAAGAACTTAAAAGCCTCTTGATGAAAGTGAAAGAGGAGAGTGGAAAAGTTGGAACTCAACATTCAGAAAACTAAGATCATGACATGTGGTCCCATGAATTCATGGCAAATAGATGGGGAAACAGTGGCTGACTTTATTTTTCTGGGCTCCAAAATCACTGCAGATGGTGATTGCAGCCATGAAATTAAAAGACGTTACTCCTGGAAGGAAAGTTATGACACCAACCTAGACAGCATATTAAAAAGGAGAGACACTTTTTAGCTCATTTGGTCGCCGGGGCTGTTGTGTTTCCAGTTGCCAGGTCGCATATCATGACGTCCACCTTGGAGAACTACATCAACCGAACTGTTGCTGTCATTACTTCTGATGGGAGAATGATTGTGGGAACACTGAAAGGTTTTGACCAGACCATTAATTTGATGCTGGATGAAAGCCATGAACAAGTGTTCAGCTCTTCACAGGGAGTAGAACAAGTGGTACTAGGGTTATACATCATAAGAGGCGACAATGTTGCAGTCATTGGAGAAATTGATGAAGAGACAGATTCTGCACTTGATTTGGGGAATATTCAAGCAGAACCTTTGAACTCTGTAGCACACTGAGGAAAAACTACATATATCGGACAGCTGTAAATCTTTGTACAGAAACTGATTATTCTGAGATTGATGGTCAGAATTTTTAGGAATGTGTAATTGTGGATTTTGACTCCATGTTGATTCATTGTAATATGATATGTAAATTAAAATATTTCTACATTTTCTTGAAAAAAAAACTTTTTTTTGGCTTAAATAAAAATAAAATAAAAAGCAGAGACATTACTTTGTCAACCAAGGTCTGCCTATTCAAGGCTATGGTTTTTTGAGTAGTCATGTATGGATGTGAGAGTTGGACTCTAAAGAAAGCTGAGTGCAGAAGAATTGATGCTTTTGAACTGTGGTGTTGGAGAAGACTCTTGAGAGCCCCTTGGACTGCAAGGAGATCCAACCAGTCCATCCTAATATTGGAAGGACTGATGATGAAGCTGAAACTCCAGTACTTTGGCCACCTGATGTGAAGAAATGACTCATTTGAAAAGACCCTGATGCTGGGAAAGATTGAGGGCAGGAGGAGAAAGGGATGACAGAAGATGAGATGGTTGGATGGCATCACCGACTCAAGGGACGTGGGTTTGGGTGGACTCCAGGAGTTGGTGATGGACAGAGAGGCCTGGCATGCTGCAGTTCATGGGGTCACAAAGAGTCGGACACAACTGAGCAACTGAACTGAACTGATGGGTTACAAAGGTGTGCTCATTTAAGTAATTGTCACCCTTTAAGAGTCTTCAAGAATCCTCAGAAATAAATGGATAAGGTAACAGTAGATTATAGGTTTTATAATATGTCAATTGGTGTCACTGGTGGCTCAGATAATAAAGAATCCGCCTGCAATGCGGGAGACCCAGGTTTCATCCCTGGGTTGGGATGATCCCCTGGAGAAGGGAATGGCAACCTACTCCATTATTCTTGCCTGGAGAATTCCATGGACAGAGTACCCTGGTAGGTTATAGTCCATGGGGTCAATACTTAAAGTTTTACCTTTTAAAAACTTAGTTGCATAAGGTGAGTGCTCCTTTGGATTGTTAACTGACTTTATTTTTATAGAATGCTAAAATGGACATCGTTGTAAATAGCTTTGTACATGTATGCACTCCTTAAAACAAATGCTGGAAATGGAATTGCTCCAGTGGGTATGCACATTTTATAATTGGATAGCTATTGCCAATTTGCCCTCTAAAAGAAATTATACAAGTTTAGATTCATTGGACCAGAGTATGAGAGTGATTTCCCCCCATACCCTTGCCAAAACTGTGCATTTTCATTCATGTTTTCTTTGCTAGTCTGATATGTGTAAAGTGGTATGTAATTACTTTCATTATTTTTGATTTTTAGTAAAATTGAGCACCTTTTGTTTCTTAGCCATTTGTGTCCTTCCTTTTTCAAATGTGCAGCTTGTTTGTGTTGTTTGCCCATGTTTTCATTGAATTTAGTATTTCCTTGCCAGTTATGAATAGTTCTCTTTTTAAATTTTTTATTTAAAAAATTTTTATTGAGGTGACATTGACTTATAACATTATGTTTCGTGTATACCACATTATATTTCTACTTCTGAATGCACACCAGCATGCTCACCACCAAAATTTATTTCCCATTTGTCTTTATACACTTGGCCCCCTTTCCCCAATGTGCATTCCCCCCTGCCCCTTCTCCTTTGGTAACCACTACTCTGTCCCATATATACATGTTTGTTTTGCTTTGGTTTATTCATTTATCTTTTATTGTTTGTTTGTTTGTATTCCACATATGAGTGGCATCATACAGTCTTTGTCTATTTCATTTAGCATAATACCCTTATTATCCACTCATGTTGTCATAAATGGCAAGACTTCATCTTTATTATGACTGGGTAGTGTATATATATATATATATATATATATATATATATATATGCACCATCCTCTTTATCCATTCATCTGTTGTTGGGCAGTTAGGTTTTTTCCATATGTTGGCTACTGTAAATAATGCTGTGATGAACATAGGGGTACACACATCTTTTCAAATTGGTGTTTTTGTATTCTCTGGATAAATACCAAAATGTATAATAACTAGATCATATGGTAGTTCTTAATTTTTTGAGAAATCTCCATACTGTTTTCCATAGCAGCACAAAAAAAATGGACAGATATTTTGTGCTCATGGATTGAAAGAATTAACATTGTTGACATGTCCATATTACCTAACACAGTCTACACAGATTCAATGAAATCCCTATCAAAACCTCAAGGAAATTTTTCACAGAAATAGAACATAAAATTTAAATGGAAGCACAAAGACCTCAAATAGCCAAAGCAATCCTTAGAATAAAGAACAAAGCTGGAGGTATCACGCTACCTGATTTCAAACTATGTTACAAAGCTATAGTAATCACAACAGCATGGTATTGGCAGAAAAATAAGATATCTAGATCAATGGAACATAGTTGAAAGCCCCAAAATAAACCCATACATATACGGAAGATTAATTTACAGCAAAGTAGCAAAGAATATTCAATGAAGAAAGTTTAGTCTCTTCACTAAATGATGTTATTAAAACTGGACAGCCACATACAAGAAAAAGAAAAGAAAAAAGAAATTAGACTATTATCTCATACCATACACAGAAATAAACTCAAAATGGATTAAAGGCTTGAATATAAAGCCTGAAACCATAAAACTCCTAGAAGAAAACAGAGGCAGTATGCTCATTGACACAGATCTTAACAATATCTTTCTAGATATATTTTCTCAGGCAAGGGAAACCAAAGCAAAAATAAACAAATGGGACTACATCAACCTAAAAAGCTTTGCATAGCAAAAGAAATCATCAACAAAATGAAGAGACAACCTACTCAAGGGGAGAAGATATTTGCAAATCATATAGCCAATAAGGTGCTAATATCCAAAATATGTAAAGAATTCATACAACCCAACAACAAAACCCCAAACAACCAGGTTTAAAAATGGAATAACTCTTTTTATAGTGTGGATAATAACCCTTTGTCTTCCTGTTTCCAATATTTTCCTGAGTTTGCTATTTGTCTTTAAACTTGTAAAATTTTCTTGGAATATACAAATTTAAAATATTTTCTTTATTTTAATCAAATTGTTATTCATTTCATTTATAATAGCTGGTAAATGTACTATACTTTGAAAAGCTTTCCCTACCTCAAGATTATAAAATTCTTTCTCCATGTTTTTTTCCTAGCACTTTTATGTTTCTAATTTTTTACTTTTGAATGTTTGTACCATATAGGTTTTATTTTGAGGTACAAAACAAATGTAGATTTCCAACTTTAATTCTTCCCAATGGCTACCCAGTTGTTCCTACATAATTATGTCAAATTAAATTAAATAGTTGTCATTTTACTCATTCATTTGAAATGCCCCTTTATTAAATGCTATATCTCCTAGGTATTTTAGAGTCCATTTCTAGAATCTAATGTTCTATTGTGTAATAGGAAAGTGTGTAAGTGCTGAAGCCAGACTACCTACCTGGGTTTGTACCCAGCTCTGCTACTTATGGTTTCTGAATCTGTAAAATGGGGAAAATAGTACCCATATCTTAGAGTTGTGATTACTAGATAAGGTTCATTTAGGTACAATTATTAGAGTGGTCCCTGGCACATAGGGAGTACTGATATTTTAAAATATTTATTATTAAAATTTGCATTATCATTTAGTCATTTTTCATAGTACATGATAACATCATCTGCATATATTTCTATTATCTTGTAGAATGAATCCTGCGCGTGCTCAGTTGCTTCAGTTGTGTCCGACTCTTTGCAGCCTGATGGACCATAGCCTGACAGGCTCCTCTGTCAATGGGTTTTTCCTGGCAAGAAGACTGGAGTGGGTTGCCCTCCTCTAGGGGATCTTCCCATCCCAGATATCGAACCCATGTCTCCTGCGTCTCCTGTGTTGCTGGTGGATTCTTTACCTGCTGAGCCCTTGGTGAAGTCCAGACTGCCAGGCAGCTTGAATAATTTGCAGATGACCTGTGGCAACTCTACTTATCTTCCTCTCTTATATTTCATCCACATTAGGCATCTTAATTCTAAGCGGTTAGGGATGGGGAGAAGAGGAAAGAAGGGAGAGGAGCAAAACTGTCCCTATTCACAGATGATGTGATTGTCTACACAGACAATCACAAATAAACATGTGTGTGCATGCACACACACACACTCATTCTCCTGGAACTAATAAATTAATTTAGCAAGGTTCAAAAATGCAAGATCAGCACACAGAAACTAATCACATTTCTATATACTAGCAATAAACAATACTACTTATAATAACTCCAAAAAGTGAAATAGGTAAAATCTAACAAAACATGTACAGGATTTATATGCTAAAACTATAAAATGTTGATGAAAGAAATCTCCAAAGACCTAAATAACTGGAGAAATATACCATGTTTATGGACTGGATGAGTTGACTCCAAAATTTATGTGGACAGGCAAAGGAAATAGAATAACCAAAATTATGTTGAATATATTGATAAAGGTGGAGGAATCACACCATCTGATTTTAAGGCTTACTGTACAGTTCAGTAATCAAGACAGTGTGGTATTAGAGAAGTCACAGACATGTAGAGCAATGCAACAGAATAGAGAACACAGAAATAGACCTACATAAATATGGTCAATTGATTTTTTGACAAGGTGCAAAGAACTCAATGGAGAAATGACAGTCTTTCAACAAATGATATGTGTTATTGGAATGATTGGATATCCATGTGTAAGAAATGAACCTTGACCAAAAACCTCATACCTTGTATAAAAATTAACTCAAAGTGGATCATAGATCTGAATGTTAATAATAAAACTATAAAATTTTTAGAGGAAAACATAGACAAACATCTGGAACTTTTATATTGCTGGCAAGCATGCAAAATAGTACAGTCACCCTGGAAAAGAATTAGGTAGTTTCATATAAAGTTAAATATACACTTAACATACATGTATGCTTCTGTGTGCTAAGTTATTTCAGTCATGTCTGACTCTTTGCAACACCATGGACTGTAGCCTG